CTTCCTGGTATCTGAGTTGGAGGCATCTAGGATGATCCTAGTTAACAGTCCTCAGAAGAAAGGCCAAGAGTCAGGCAGCCCAGTGTTCCAGGAGCTGAAGGGCATCTGCATGTCACTGGGCATGTCCAAACCTCCTGCCAACATCACCATGTTCCAGTTCTTCAGTGGAATAGAGAAGAAGGTGTGCACTCACAACAAAACACAGAGAGATGTATCTAGTACAATTAAAGCTGGATTTTAAGATTCACAGCAACTGAAAGATACTGTGTGGAACTACAAGGCAGTTGGATTTTAAAGTTCCCCCCCTTAATCTGTGGATAGATCAAACTTCCATCATTAAACCCACACAGAATTTAAGTAATGATAATTTCATTTTTTCACAACAAACTCTCATGACATATTTGTAGGCATCCTCTACGTGTACGACACACTTTTTCACCAGGATATATGTTTTCTTGTAGTTTTTTCTTCAATTTGCATCTGTCACACGTTAGAAATGTCATCAACCCCCCCACTCACTCGCTGTGAATCCAGCTGGGGGATCCCCTGCTGTGTTATAACATCAACTTCTCTTAGATTTCTACAGACATTATACTAGGAGGCCAGGCAGTGAAAGTCCAAAGAGACTGTGGAGCATCTCACTCGGACGTTCCCATACATAGACATATTTGTTGCCACATATTAACACTGACCGACACGTGGTGATTTTTTTGTTTACTTTTTCAAATAAGTACAATCGAAATACTTAGTAGTGCTTTGCATAGCACATTGATTCACTCACATGGAGACCAAGTGTCAAAAGGAACTACACATTTCCCTCATGTTGATGTGGTTTAATATACTCAATTATTTATCATCTTTTCTTAAGCTGAAAGAAGCCCTAAGTCGAGTTCCACCAAATCATGTAGGAGATCCACTAATGAAGAAGGCACTTGGACCTGTGCATCTGGTATGATTGAAATACAATACAACTGGGGAACACTGCATAAGTAATCGCTTTTTCTCATGAGTGTGTTTTCATATAATTACAGGAAAAGATTGAAGCTATAAACCAAGCACTAGTAAATGAGTATGAGGTGAGAAGGAAGATGTTGTTGAAACGTCTCGATGTGACAGTGCAGTCTTTTGGTTGGTCTGACAGAGCGAAGGTATGTTGAAACTTGCAATCTCCCTAATTGTAAATAGACAATGCAATGCTAAACAACAAATAATGCAATTTTGTATATGCATGTGTTTTAGCTGCAGTGAAGCCACTCTGCTCTTAGTTTCACAAGGAATTGAAAAGTGGGGAAAATAGGCAAAACATATATAGATATATACAAATTTGAAAAATGACAGGTGCAGGAATATTTATAATGTTGGTGGATAACATCACATCCAGCTACCCCACTTGCAGGTATTTGTTAACATGGATCAACATATTGATTGGCTTTATTATATTTCACTTTAATATATTTATCTTAATTTTATTTATGTTTACTCTGCCTTTGTTTTGTGGATTAGTTTGCATTCTCTGCCATAAATCACCATCACTAACCATAATAAAAGCTAAATGGTGTTTAATCAGTTTAAGAAGAACTTCCTGGCACGGCCTGCAGGGGTCTCCAAGTTAAAACCTAAACAAAAACAATGACAAATGCTTGATAGGATATTGTAGAATTTCAGATGGCTTATAACTGCTATACTACTATCTATTACTATTATGTAATAAAGGCTACAGCAGCAAATCCTCATAATATTGAACCTGGAACTGCCAGTGTTTGTCATTTTTGATTTTGAAGCTCTGTAATCAAACTAGATCTATAAACTTTTTTTGAAGTTTCTAAATAATTAAAGTATACATCTGGATGCCTGTGTACTGTAGACACCCACACTTGATCCTCTGCAGGCCAATCGGTATCTGATAACATTTAGTATCTTGTAGCAGTGCTTATATACATTTGTAATGTCAACACCTTGTGTGTTTTTCATTGGCTTAGATTTCTGCAATATGAATCAATACAATTATTTGTTTCTGTATCATACCATTAAACTGGTTCATCCCACCTGGATTGCATGACACACAGTAATTTGGCATACAAATTAAAGCTTCCTATGATTTGTATGCTGGTTCCAAACTAAAGCAAATCCTTGTACACGATACATGACATGCTTTCCCAAAAATAATTATTGTGTTCTCATTTACAGAAACATGCTGAAAAGTTAGCCAAAGTTTACCCGCCTCTGCGTTCAGCCCTCTGTACTGCAAGTAAAATCTCTGTTGCCCATCTCCTTGCTACTCGACAAGATTTCTCCAAGATCCTACGTACAAGCAGTGGCATGATAAGGGAGAAGACTGCTTGTGCTATTAATAAGGTAGGTCCAAAACATTGTCAGTACAGTTATCAAGACTGTTTCTCTGTTGACAAAGGATGTGCAGAAGTCTGTGCTCTCTTTATATTGTCTATAAGTGTTTGAGTATGCGATGTAAGATTATAGCAGATGTTTGAACTGAACATTAACATCATTAATGAACCACTAAAGTCAGTCCACTCAATGGATAGGTTTTGCTTTGCTTGATATTTTTGATACTGTCAGCAAATCCCATGAAAAGACTAAAACCAACATTATCTTATGTCTTAGTCTGTCTCTCAGTGCTTCACATCTTCCCTACTTTCTTTGTGGTCTCAGCCACAGGCACATTGTTCTCTATTGAAGACGTAATTATTTATAAATGGGTTACAATTACAGTTTCCTTTCTGTCTTTTTTTTAAAGCTTCTTGATTGACTGAAACAGCTGATTGCTGCATATGTAACATTGGAATGACTGAAGTGCCAGCATGTTAAATTTAGTTTTAAGTTCCTTTTTATCAACACATGGCAGACACCTGATCTCATGTAAGCGACAAAGAGAAGTCGGATCAGATTTGGCTAGTGAGCTTACCATCTTAATTTAATTATTTCACTCAGGTGCGAATGGGTCGAGTGCCAGACAGAGGAGGCCGACCCTGTGAGATTGAGGCTCCTCCACCGGAGATGCCCACTTGGCAGAAGCGTCAAGATGCTCCCCAGGGTGGAGGATACCATGGTGGGGGCGGGCACGGAGGCGGCAGGGGGGGCTATGATCACTACTCCCAAGGTGGCCGTGGAGGCTATGAGAGAGGACATGGAGACAGGGGAGGTAGAGGGGGCAACAGAGGAGGGAAGGTACAGGGAGGCTGGGGAGATGGTGGTGGTGGTGGTGGTGGTGGTGGTGGGGGAGGAGGAGGAGGTGGTAGAGGCGGTTACAACCAAGGCCACTTTCAGGATGTAGGAGGTCATCATGGGGGAGGAGGGAGAGGGGGTTACGGAGGAGGTGGGAACAACCAAGGAGGCTTCCAGGACCCTGGGTATCATGGAAGCGCAGGCAGTTACCAACAAGATGGAGGCTGGCATCAGGAGAGAGGCGGGGGCCGAGGAGGTCGTGGGGGCAGGGGAAGGGGTGGCCGAGGAGGACAAGGACAAGGGGGAGGCTGGGGAGGGAGAGGGGGCCCGAATTTTAACCATGGAGGACAGTTTGAACAGTTCTTTCAACAAGGCGGGCAGCACTACAACCAAGCCGGCTTTACTCAAGGCAGACACTACACAAGTTGAAAACACAGTCAGCAGAGTCCACGCAAAGATCGACTATCTGACATTTGTGAACAGATTTACAATGGCTCAAATCTTACATTTTCAGCATGGTTAGAGGTTGACTAAACATTTTTTTCTACACCTGGTGTGTTGTTTTCTTTGCTAAAAGTATGAAACCAGCAGTTCTGCTGTGTACGGTTAGTGGATTAGATGGACTCTGCTGTTCTGACCTTATGCCACTAATTAGCCTTATATTGGACATTTTTTGAAAAACAAGATTTCAGCGTCAGTGCACCTACTATGTATCTGACTTAAGAAGTGAACGCCATTATTACATGTAGAATTCTTCAAATGATCAAAGTTAAATTGAGTCTTTCTAGCCTTGGTTTTGTTTCATTAGGTTTGACCAGAATCTCCTTTGTTATATATGTAAAAAATGTCACCTTGCTCTGCTCATGGCGGGTTGTGTTCATATTGGCTGTTGAAAGGTTTGCATGGTTGTGTAAATAAGCAATAAAATCTGAAATAAGAAAAAATTGTCTTTCAGTGGTAAGATTAGCTGGGCCAAGGAACTGTAAGAAAGTAATGACAGTTTATACATTTTGACTCTACAAATAAAACTCTGTGCATTAGCAAAGGATAAAAACAAGAGACAACTAGAATGGCACTCAGTGTATCTGCCAATTAAGACAGTCCACTCTCACAACCACATTTAGAATAATTAGATCCCGGTTTTTGTATGGATCTGGACCAAATTGCACATTCTCAAAAACACCAGTCCCCTAATATGCCTGATTTTATTTCATCTACATCCAACAATCGTTCTATGATAAATCAAGGAAAGTGAAAAACGCCCTGAGTCGAAATGTAAAAAAGGTTAGAAAACAATATTCTGGATCCAGCCCCTGATCGGAATCTGCACTAACATTTAATGGACTCTTTCCTGACCCATACACCATCCTTCCACCAACTTTCATTGGAATCCGTTCTGTATTTGCGTTATCTTGCTTACAAATCAATCAACCAACAAACGAACAGAAAGGGGTAAAAGTGCAAGTAATAATAACAAGGTTTTTAAGTAACAGTATAGGTGATAATGCAATGTCAAGTCATAAAGCATTAGAGCAAACCTTATCTGGCCATAGACCATTGATTTTTTAGACCATTTACATCAATTCATAGAGTGAATTCAGGGAGAAACTTGCAGGGCTTTTATTTTGTAAGATGGCCTCTACTTGTATGAATATTCTTGTCCAAGGATATAAGAATTCATATTTTGTCTTCAGTGTCATATACTGCATCATAATCTAAATCATATGAAATCTTGAACTTCATTTGTATTACGGTGTATAAAGTAATTCCATTAAATGATTTTACTGAGACAACATAGATCCTTATTTTGAAATAATTACTCCGGATGTTTTTCTGCGTCGTTGTTGGATTTCCGGCCACAAGGTCTCACGAGCAATTCAATGCAGAAGAAGCTCCTTTGCTCGGAAACGGTTTATTAATTGATTCAGTCTGGTTGAATTACTTGTCTGGATTTGGTGAGCCCTCCCGACCACGACCATGTACCGGTCAGGTAAACAGGAACACGGGCCACCGCCGCCGTTCCGACCTCCATCAGCCCACGGACCTCCTTTCACATTCGGAGGGCCCTGTGGTGTTCCTCCTCACGGACATATGGCCCCTGGACCCCGCGGATCATTTTCAGCCCCGGCATCGGACGGCCAGTTTCTCCACAGCAGACCGTCAAGAGGGCATTTCATCAGAGTACGTACTGAACAGGCTAGCTTAGCTGGTTCAGACACATGTTTCTAACAAGGGGTTAGCTAGCATAGAGCAAAACGCACAGGCCTCGTTAGCTACAAGTGTAGCTGCATATTGTGGCCGAGTAGTGAACTCAATCGTATCGTCTTGAGGACATTTTCTGTATGAATGAGAGATGAAGCAATTTCGGACAAATATGAAGTCAGTCACGTAACTGACGCAGGTTAATCAAATCTCAGCGTTGTACTGTCCTCTTGCACTTCAATGTAGGTTGATCCCGCAGCAAATCACCGAGGACCACCCACTGCATGTGTTTTCTAGAAAAACACAAAACAGATTGAACATGTGATTTAATGTTCATTTAATTGTCCCTGTAGCTCAGCACAAACTACTTCCATAGATGGTCGTCACTTTCGCAGGCTCAGTAATCTCATACTGTAACACCATTCTCTGCAAATGAGCTTTTCTATTCAAAGGTTTCTGAAGCTGAAAACGCCAATGTCTCTGTCAGCCTATGCATTTGAAAGTTCAAGTTAGCAACATAATTATATGGAGGGATATTACTCTGAACAAAACTCAAACACACCTCGAAGGTGTTGTCACTGTCACGACACTCTGCCTCTCAGTCCACTTTGCAGCACTACAGGTCAGATGTTCCTCATGTTTCTCTAAACATGTTAGTTGGTGATGTCAGAAATGAATAGGCCTGTTGTCTCTTATTATGATCTGTATAAATAGTTTTCAAATATGAGTAATGAGTATAAGACAAAATATACTCTGGTAGTAATATATCTGTATCTGTGCCAGCTGATAGATACATTGTCTGACTTTTGATTTGTTGCAATTTATCCTGAGGGTTTCTTGGATATTCTGTGTTTTTTTTTTTAAAAACCCAGTCCAGTGGAAAATAAGTAATTGTTGATACTTATTAGTATTTAGTACACAGAGTAGCTTAAAATATTTTTTTTCAGAGGGCAAAAAAGTCCGTAGCTAAGAAAGTATTTTGAGCAGAGCAACAGTTTATTTCAAGGTCACATAAATTATAAATGAAGTTTGTACATTTCTGCTTTTGAAGAAAATCTGTAACATGAAGTAGGAAGAATACATGAAGATAAATTTTTTTAAATACAATCAAAGGTGTTCATCCTTAAATCGTTTCAAATCGAAGTGGGGCTGCTCGATTATGGCTCAGTACGGTGCGATTTAACCATACAAGGGCTCTATGAAGGGCTGGGAGTTAAAGGTGTGAATCTTCATAAGCCTCACAATTTGATTCGATTAAGATTCACCTGTCATCGAATCGAATGCACAGAGATTCTTGATGCATCTCAATGTATCACATGCTCAATCTTCTATATTACTGCACACGGCTACTTTTTTTTAATCAAATAACACAATCAGTGTTCTTTGTTATTTAAGAAGTATTGTAGTCTGTTACTGCTATTATAAGTTTGCTGTAATTTATAAACCAAGTTTTTGGTTAAAAAAAATCTCACTATAAAAGTCTATGACAGTGTTCGGCAACTGGTGGTCCACAGGCTAAAACTGTCAGCCAGCACTATTATCTGTCCAGCCAGATTTTGATAATTGATGTTTGATTGATAATTTGAATATTCTTATATCACCATTTTGGACTCACGCAGACATTCCCAGATGTCACAGGCGCTGATCTGACCATCATGGCAGTAAATGAACTGAATTACAGGGCTTTTTATTTTGAAAAGTTGTGAACTTGGGTTCGAAGACTGCTTAACAGACCTCTGAAATAGCAGACATGCAATGCATGAAATAATAACCTGCGGTGTGTGGACAAGCTCAGTTCTGGATTGACTCTGATCTCACAACTTAGGGCATGGTTGTGTTAGCAAGGAAGACAAAACCCATGGGTGCTCGCACTTATAGCACGGTCAGGAACCATATCAAAGTGACATAGAGACATTAAAACAGCTGGCTTAACTGGTGTTACGGAGTAAATAACGCCCAGGCTACACTGACTGCATTTGCACTGCGGAATGGCTGTGCTGCTGTTCTGCTGCATGTTGCAGTTGTCTGTTGACAGTGGCTGCGGTTAAACATTGGACATTTTTTAAATATTGTAGTTGCTTTTTTACAATTCAACTGACAAAATCACAGATAATGTAATTATTTTTGATATTGAGGATAGCATATTGTTAAGATAATTATTGAGCTGTAAAATAGCTTTGAAACATTCTAGTGTTGAAATTGCATGTTGCAGCTGAACACCCCTCACCTCACCCTCTCCTTCCAAACATGAAAAAGTGAAACTGTGGTGGCCTTTAATTGTCATAGAAAGTCTTAAAGTGTTTAGTTTGTCCAGTCTGGACTAATGTAAAAAACATAGCGGTCTCCGTAGAGAGGGTCTCCTCGGTTTATATATAAAGGGCCTTTTCTGGGGTAAAGAAAACAACAGTCTATACAATTTAGATGAAACGAACTAGTGAAAGCATCATGAGGGTTATTCTACATTACATTTCAATTCTGCCAATAGAACCAAAATCTTACACTCTGGACCTTTAAAGGAGATATGGTCATCCAGTAGTTAAAATTTCGTTAGCCCATGTCTCCCCCAATTTGGATCAGAAACCGGAACAAGTTTTGTTCCGTAGGTTTCTCATATGACCAAAACAGTATGCAAAATTTCATGAAGATCTGTGACGGTGCAGCCTCAAAGTGTGACGATATGACATGGAAGACCTATTATCATTTCATCAACCAACATGGAGAGAGTGAGTGAGAGAAGGCAGAGAGAGCAAAGTGGCTTTGTCGGGGTTATGAAGATGTAGAGACGGAGAAGTGAAACGCAAGTTTACATGTTAGATAATTGGGTTTAACACTATAGTTTATCAGCAAAGTGTTTGGAACAACATTGCAGACTGAAGTCTGGAGCTGAGTCAGAAACCGGCCATTAGCTCTGTCATAGGCATGAGGCCAATACGGGTGGAATGCCTGTTGAATTGAGATTAGCGGTCGGAGGTATTCATTGTTGTAACTGATCTCATGCCAGGGCAGGGATTTATCACCATTATTAATGTGATAAACACACTACATTGGTACAACTGGTTTCACTGCCACACATGGGGCGTTCTACCTTTTTTCTTCCTAGTTCTTATATGTTGTCTCCTCTCATGTTCTCTCTCCCAAAGGGGCTGTAGTTTATTTTGTCTCCTTCTGGCAGCTCATGTTTTGTTATTTAATTTTTCAAATTTTAAATGAACCCTATATATATGTGTAGTTAAGTTCAATTTCGGAGTTTGTTATTGTTATTTGCAGCTAAAATGCGGGTAATGTTTGCACTGTAGCATATATAAGCATATATATACATTAAGTAATTATTTTTTTTGACAGTCACATTCTACAGGGACAGTTAGAATTGTTTTTCCAGTCCATTTGAACTCAATATTTTTCACATTGTCTAGTCAAGAGTATGAGTTCTTGCATGTTTCATCCCCTGATCCCCAAAATAATGGTGCCATAGATTTGTGACCTTTACTATCTCAGGTGGTGGTTAGACAATGCAACATAGACGTAGGCCTTTCCAAATAAAGGCGTAATGACAACTCAAAAACATAACAGCCCAACAACCACAACAATATTATAAAAATCTATCGTCATTGCGATTTCAAAGTGCACGGTAGACGTATCGCAAAAGACGTCAAAAACTGCGATAAATGGAGTTTCATGCGCCGCGCATTGATGCGCTGCATGTCAGTATATAATCAGATGGAGCTCTGCTGCCCTAGATGATAAAGTACAGACATTCAGATTAGGGGTGGGCATTCGATTAAATTTTCTTAACCGATCGTCAGGAGAATTATCGATCTATTTTCGATTGATCATTAAAAAAAAAATGTATTAATTAAAATACATTATTTAACTTTTTAAAAAAATTATAAATGCAATAAAAATACAAAATACAGCGTGTTTTTCCTCGATGAGATCTTTATTACAAGAAGAACTACTCTTGTGGCAGTTAAACTAACGTTCAATGGTTAAACTTGAAGATGTGCGCTGCGGTACTCTAAAGCAGAGGAGCCTGCAGCTGCGAGCCGGCGCTCTTAAACACAATTGACCCTTGTTTGTTCCAAAACAATAATTTTTTTTTTTCAATCCTGGGATGAAGTCTACTCTGACTGCTGATGGATGCCTCTGCTAGGTCAGTATTTACCAATATTTCATATTGACAAAAATAATATCCTAGGCTTAAATTTTTGGATATTGAATTGAGCAAGTGTGTAAATCTTTTGTTTTTTCCTGTAGCTGATGCTGTTGGGTGTGACACACAGGAACAAAGAAACCCTTCCAAGTGACAGGTAGCCTGGTACAGTTCACTGAATGATGCCTCTCTGTTGTTGTTAGGCCAGGGAGAGATGTTTCCTGGCATGTATACAGCCACTGGCAGAATAGCAGGGATGCAGCTGGTCAGGATGCTCTTGATTACCAAAATATGCCATATCTAACAGTTCTTAAATTAAATTTGCCTTGTTTGAATATTATTTTGCAGTTCCCCTTCTTTGTGTTGTGATTCCCTAGGAGCTCCTGACTGTCATTTGGGGAACATCGAATCTAGAAAAATGCTAGGACTGCATTCACAGGTTTAGAGCTGGTTCAAATGGTAGCTGTGGAAAAAATAGTGCTGAAACAATTTATTTGTCTGCAGCGAACACATTCTTATGGTTTCTTGAAGTAAGAAACATGTAAAAGTCGCTTAATCTCAGACAGGTTGTGCAGCATCCAGTGCCTACTGGAAATGAAAGCTAGTTTATCTACATGTACATAGCCTAGACTATTGACGAGCTTGACCTCTGTTGCTTTGCAGCTTTTCCTCAGAATGGATGTGTCAAATGCAGCTTGGTTTGCTCACCATATGTAAGTCAGTGAAATCATTTCAAACACAAACGTCTTGTGCTCATTCACTGTTTCACTAATTACAACCTTCTATAGTCATGGTATTATATAATACTACTTAGCCTAATGTTTGGCTGACTAACATCGGACTATGTGCTCATTTCTAGTTGCCACCGTAGGGGCAGTGGTTACATGAGGTTTGATAAAGCCACCATGCACATGTTTTGGTGTGCTCTGGTAACAGACAAATAGCACTACTGCAGAGGTTGTTTCAGCCAATGACAGACAATGCATTCAAATTCACCACAGTGCAGACCAGACTCTGATTGGCTACAGTGGTTTATGTACCTGCCTTACATCAAAATGGGTAAGTAAGCAGAAGCAATTTTTGTTTGTTTCCAAGAAACCAAGACTAGTTTTGTTTGTGTGCTGTGCTTTTTCCAATCTTATTGCATAGGTCTCTATGACTAAGCTGCTAACTACTTGCCAATATGAGTAGTTGTTTAATGTTGTTTAATGATTGTAAATTTAAGTTCTTGCTTTATTTTTGTGTGTTATGTGACAAAAAAGTGTTGCTAATGTGATACATATTTTAAAGACTCTAATAACAGCTCAATCATTTTCAACAGGCAATATTCTTCATGTGTTACATGGATTGAAGGAATTAAGGATTGGCAGAGCTTCTGGCCCATGCAGAAAGGAGCTTGCAGCGTCCTCCTGTAGCTGGAAAGGGGATGAAATTTGTAGATGCCTAGAAGAAATTACAATACATCACCATGGACTAAAGCCTACCAAATTGTTATTCTGTATTGTTTGTGTACGTATAGTATTACATACATATATTACATTTGGTTTATTTTGTTGCATACATCGCGTCCATTTGATGGAATTTTTTTTGCACTTTTGGAAGACAACATGCTCTAATGAGTGAGATGCAGAGCTGTAAAATGTGCATGCATCAGTGCTATGCAAATGATTGTGTGCACCGTTTAGAAAATGCATCTGTTCATACCAAGTTTGAACGAAATTGAATCAGCATTTTATTTGTCAAATCAATTTAAACTACATAATGCAAATCTCTGGTATGATCCACATTTTCTAAGTGTTATTTAATGTTTCATATCATTAAATTATTCATGCTCTAGATGTAGTATTGGTGTGTTTAAATATCAAGTTCACGAAAAGAGTTGTCAACTTGAATGTATATATTGAACTAGGGATGCACGATCATTTTGGCACTCCATCGTTATCATCCAATTAAGGCTTTATATATGACATATTGGCATCGGCCCAAAATCAAAATTTCAGCCAATATGACAGAATGATAGGATGACACTCGGAATGAGACAAAATTAGTATTCGTTTTCGAAAGCTATACACCCTAATATGGTGACGTCGGTGAGGGTAAAAGAGCCATAAACATGTCTGTGCTGGGGTCAGAAAGGGAGAGCATTTGCTAGTGTTTACAGTGAACGGCTGTTCAGCGCTATCTCTCATGTCAGACAAGAGAAATCACATCAACTGTGAAAAGGCAGCAATGCTAATGTTCGTAGAGAAAATCTAACTCATACTTGATTTATAGGATACAGGATATAGGCTTATGAGTCTCAGCCTATCGGACTGAAAGGGAGGGCTATCTTTTCACTAAGACTACTTCAATTTTGTGCTCTTTTAATGTAGATGGCTGTTGCAAAGTTCCTTGTAGCTCTCTAGTTTAAAGTTTACAGTTTTAACCCCATAATGGGCCCCTAATTTTGGATTAATTCAGTTAATACATTATATTATTGAGTTTAAGCAAGTCTAGAAAGCATGTGTAGCCCACTAATTTAGGCTAATTTTTTTCAACAGTGTGAAAAATAGTACACTTTGTCTATTGATGTTCTTCTATCGTGCATCCCTATATTGAACCTTACGGCTTACAATCAGATTCAAACATGATCCATAGTATTTCTAATGTCTCATGTTCATAGTTTTATAGTTATCATTTATTGCAATGAATGCAATCAATGTGTGTATATATATGTATGAACTTTTGGTATTGTCTTTCTGTTGCTGTGCTTTGTTGTATGGCAAACATCTTACAAATATATTTGAAATTTTAAAGAAGAACTGTCTTTACTCTTTCTTTAACACGTCTTTTTTTCTTGGTCTCAGCTCTGGCAATATGCTACATATTTTGCCACTGCTCTGCAAGAAATACTGCCAATGAATATACATGCTCATTGCTTATCAAACAATACTTGGTTATGTCAAGAGTAAAAAAGGGGGGTTGATACTTGGCTTAACCAATTTCTTTCATTTTAAACATGTTTGTATTTATTTAGCGATTTTCTAGTCTTGATGACGATTTAGGTTAATCTGGGTCAATTGATCATTTGGGTCAACATATTTTAGTGACCCTGAGTATTTTTAATATCGCGCGGATATAACAAAACAATAAAACTTACTTTACATTAAATCAAGTACAACCACAGGCCTATTAAACTTTGTTAATGTCTCGTATTTGTACAGTTGTTACTCTTACATTTAAAAACCATAACTTTCACTGGTTTGCCTTTGATTTACAGATTTTCTGAATTTGTAAATCAAATTTGCAAATACTAGTTTTGTGGAAGGCTTTTTTTTGATGTATTTACAAACATAACCACACAGAGTAAAAATGTCAAAATATTCCATTGTAGTTCTGTGTTGAAAAACTCTATAACATGAACTTTGAATACTCTCAGCCCCACTGTAGCAGCTTCTCCATAGACCGTAATACAGCGATTGCTTCTGGAGACAGCCACCAGATCGCCCCTCATGTTGAACCACCACACCTTCAGGTCCCACAGTGGATTCCCACTCCTGCGAAACATCGTCTACCAGACAGGTATATCTGTTAATAAAATGTTTTGTATCAGTCTAATCTGGAATTGTTGCTTTAACCTAATCTTTGTTTTTGTTGATGTTTGAAACACATTCATGTTCGTTTTCAGTGACAGAGCTGGTGAGGAATTCTTGAGATGCATTGCAGCCAACAAGCCTCTCCCAGACTATCTGAAAGGGGACATGGCCTACAACCTTGCTGAGGCATTTAAGTCAGCTAATGTTCTGAAAGATGCAGTAAAATCAGACCCTGATTTCCAGAAGCATGTGCCCAGGAGCATCAGTCAAAGTAGAAGCAGAAGTCGTGGCAAAAGCCGCGGCAGAAGTCGTGGCAAAAGCCGCGGCAGAAGTCGTGGCAAAAGCCGCAGCAGAAGTCGTGGCAAAAGCCGCGGCAGAAGCCATGGGAAGAGTTGTGGAAAATCTCGTGCCAAGAGCCGTGCCCGAAGCAGAAGCCGCGCACGCAGCCGAAGCAGAGGAAGGAGCAAAAGTCATGCTCGTGGCAAGAGTCGAGCTAGAAGCAAAAGCAGGGCACGCAGTAAAAGTCGGAGCAGGAGCCAAAGCAAGCAGAAAAGTCATGTACGGAGCAAGAGTCGCATCAGGAGGTCCAGGTCACGAAGTGGCAGTTTTGAAAAAAGATGTGCCAATGATAAGAGAAAGAGGAGCCTAAGCCCCAGTTGCAGCGGCAGTGTTGAGAACAGTAACAACTTGACAGGGAAATGTCTGTTAGAGGGACTGAAACTTGTCATGAACAGCAAGGAACTGGAAGAGCGGTTGCCTACTCTCAAAGATGCCATCCTCACTATTCAGGTAGAGTTAATTCATTTTACAAAATGTTTTGTGTCAGTTTGTTCTCACTTTGATCCTATATATCGTCTATTTGAGCACACCAGGGGATTGCCATGATACAAACTTACGGGTGGTCGATACATAACTTTTGTGTTTGAGTGGAACTTTTTAAATAAAATAAAATAGCAACATATCCCTAACCCTGATATGTTTCAGTTTAAAAACATCACTACAGCTACATGTATACCTGGCCTCCAGAGTACTCCAGAGTTTCCAGACCTTAAAACAGACGTCTAAAGGCTGCTTACCTTTTTAGTTTGAAACCTTTATAAGCTTTAAAACACACATTCACTTCATTATTGTTTCTAATGACTCATGACTACCACTGGTGAGTGCAAAGCGTTACCAAAATCTAATGTCAACTGCAGTGGCTCCACCTCTTTGGTCTAAGAAAAGAAATCCCTTACCTAACTTAGCTAAGCAATTAGCTGCAGATCTGCTTCCTGTTTATACAGACATGCATAGGACAAGTATATGTGTGTGGTCATATATTATGCATTTCCAGGTATGTAAGTATGGATAGAGATCATTTCTGATATGGAGCTGAAACATTTGTCTTGAAGTCAAAAGTCTTGCAAGTCTCCTGTGTGCTGTGCTGCATTGCACCAGAGGACACTGTCATCATGGGAGTACTTAACTGTAGAAAGAGCAACAGTGTGGTTTTCAATTTTATTTCAAAGTTAATTTTCTATGTTCATTTTTAGGTTTTGAACTGTTGAATGTTTACTTATGTCTAGCTTAATTATTTTGTTTTGAGTGTACCTTGTTTTTTTTCATTAAAGCTGCACAAAGTTTGCACAGACATAGATATCCATCCCCTAAACATTCCTGTTTTTTTTCATCAAGATCCATGCTCTCTTACCCAGAAAATTTTAGAAAATGTCTCACAATGTTAAAGAAGAACTGAAAAACAAAGTCTTCCTCTGGCCCTTTGTCCAGTCCAAATATTTTCTCACTTGAATGATTGCACATTTAGCTTTATTTGCTGAGCAGAAAGTTTTGATGACAAATTGGGACAAACATTATTAACAAAGATTTATTATTTGATTATACAGTCAGTTTGTTTATGTTAACACTAGATTAAAGACATGTATGTAATGGTTGTGTTCACCTCTGTACAGGCGTCTGATGGAAACAAAAAGGTGCAGTGTGTATCGAATGAGCAACATGACAGTCAGGAGAATTCAACTTCATTGGAAAACGACAGCATGCTCCTTCCCCATGACCGAGTAGGCAGTGACTTCTCCTGGCTCCACGCACAAAGTCAAGAAGACTCCCCAGATCAAAAAGCTGATGAACTTGATGATGAGGAGTCATTCTTATATGGAAATGAAGATACTGGAGGAAAGCAAGACATTGAAACAACTACCACCTATTTTCCAACATTTTCTCAGTCTGGAGAACATTACAATGATGTTTCTGCACTGAGCAGTCAACAGCCCATATTTAGTAGCTGTGGGGATCTGCTCGACCTGAAGCAGCCCCTTCAAATGACTTCCTCTGTCAATCTGGACAGTAGTGAGTTTGAGAAAATCAAGAACATATTAAAGAGTCAGGGCACAGCACACATCAACCAGATCATGGTGAAGATGCAGGGGCAGAAAGAGGAGAAGCAACCGTCTCCTGCTTTACTTGGTTCAGACCCAACAGTAGCAAGCTTGACAATGCAAGCAATGAAGAGCTCTAATGTACAGCAAGCTCTGCAATCTCTACAGTCTCTTATCAAAGGTGAGATCCCATATTGAATGAAAGATTCAACTTAATCCCCAAAATTGTTGAGCATTAGTATTTCAGTTTTTATGTCTTTTTTCATGTTTGCTTGCCAAGAATACAGATTGAGTGAAGTCCTTCTTTGATTGGTTTTATTGTGGATGACTTTTTATTCCTAAAGTTTAAAGCACACTTTTTAAATAAGTGCTACTGTAAACATGTATTTTAAAAATTTGTCTATCATCGCATTTCAAAAATACAGTGTTGTCCAAGTTATTAAAACATAATCAGTTACATAACTACCATCAACCCTGTTTTTGGGGCTGCATCTAAGAAGATGGCTGTTTTTCCACTTAACAAATAACACTAAAAGACCAAACGCAACAATTAATTGACCCAATGCATGTATAGAAATAGTTATTTACAAAGTTTTTTTCTTCTGAATTCTCCTTCCCAGTTCGCTTTTTGATGTATGTATTATTCAGCTGTGAAGTGGATTTGGATCTCTGTCTCCAGTTGTCAAGGATAAGATTTTGAGACAGCTGACCGTGGTGCTGTGCTCAGTCAGTTGGAAACTGATACCATTCGGACTCTTGGATATATCTTCTCTTTTGTTTATTGTTAAATGCTTTTATAATTATATTATTCTTTTCTCCTTTAGCGACAAAGGAGAAGAGAGTAAAAAGTGATGGCGGTGGCATATCTCAGACCTTTGATAATCACAAGGTAAAGAATATCCTGAGAATGAAAAGTGAAGACATTTAACAATGGTTAAACCCTTAGTTTTGAAATCATAACTTGTGTTTGGCAGGCAAGTAACAGTGAGGAAATGAAGAGAGAGAAACAAGCCAGAAGAAGTAAAATGGAATCCTTGATGAAAGAAATGGAGGGATTGTTGAAACAGGATGGTAAAGCAGCTTTTCATTTACCTTATTCTATTCATCGTCTGACACACACGGAAATGTTCTATGCTGCTTTTCTTGTCCATTTGCAGGCCAGAGTTTTCTGACGCCAGTGATTGGGTTCTACTGCCAGAAATGTGAGGAGTTCATTGGAGATTTAAGTTCTGCTGAAAACCATGCGGCAGTTCACCAACATGATAATTCTAGCAGTGTAAGTACCTCTGTATTCCTTGTGGTAGAGCATGTGACATTCTATATTTTTGTTCATGAATCCCAGTAAGAGACCAAAAAGACTAAGTCAATGTATGTCTACTGAAAACTAAGATCTAGCAGTCTTAGCAGGCTGTGGAAAAACGACATCAACAATTTGTGAAGTGGCCCCGGAGCCTCACAGATCAATAACATGGTTTGTAGATCAACTCACATGATGGCACCAATCAAATCTGTGGATGCCGATGAGCATTCCGACCGGAGTCAGTCAGTGAGATACAATGAAGAGTAGACAAGGGATAAACGAGTCGGAGAGAAAAGTAAGTTAACGTGGCTTCCCTAAAAGAGAAAGGTACACAGTTAAAACAGAGTTTGAATCAAGACTGGACAGACTCTTACATTTTCATTCTATCAATGTGCAGTTCGAAACCATAATGCCTCCAAGAACGCAGCGATTGTTAAAAGCAGTAATATGGAACAACACTACACTACAGCCCAGATTTCAAATCCAGAAGCTAGAGCTCACTTCTTTCATGGAGTAAGAAAAGTGAGGTTGGGAAAAAATAGGAAAAGAAACAGAAAGTGAAACTTAATATACAGAATTAAGTTTTCTGTTAACATGCACATTTTTACAAAAGCTTTTTGTCATATGTTTAATTCTTTACCTGACATAGTCGTCGATTAGACTAATATAGAATCCCTCCAAATTAGTATTGCATTAAACTTTGACTTGAACCGGCCACCCTCCAGTTCCCAAGCCAAGTCTCTATGGACTGAGCTACTGCCTCTTTGCCTACTAGCGCACTTTGACTGAAAACTTTTGTTAAACCCATAGCATTGATTGTATTGTCAATAGTCTTTTGGTGGCTATAGACTCTGGGTTCATTTTTTTAAAGGTGCAAATGTTTAACTTTTTTTAGCAGAAAATGCAAATGGACAAACATCCTGGACAGACTGATCGAGGCAGCAAAGGACACTCCCACTGTTTTAGCAGCAGCAGTAACCCACACACCTCAGACAGGAGAGATCACAGAGACTACAGCTACCATCGAGATTCAGGAGACCAGAGAAATCACAGAGACTACAAACAAGACTGGAGGAATGAGACATCTCACAGAGGCAAGCTCGACAACAACCACATAAATCAAGGGCAGAGGCAGGAAAACATCTCCTTTAAAGAGGAGATGAGTAAGGAGAGGATGCTCATAACAGTGTCATGTGGACCGACATCCCCTGTGAACATCAGGGTCAAGGAGGAGGTGAACAAGGAGCAGACCATCAAAGGCTATAGCAATGTCAAAGTGGAAGACACAAAAAAAAAAGATAGCAAGGGAAAAAAGGAAAGTAGTGATGATAGTGACAATGACAACGGAAAAACATGTAAAGTAAAATCATCAAAAAAGAAGAAGAAGAAGGAGAAGAAGAAGAAAAAGGAGAAGGGAAATAAGTCCTAACAGTTGTATTATGCTTGTTGCTTTTTTATCTTTATTAGACAGTTCTTTGAGATGATGTCAGTCTGAGTTTTACCATAACCCTCCTGGACACCATGTAATAGTTGTCTTTTCTTTTCCCAGTTAGTACTTTGTTGGTGAGATCGGAAGACGGAGGTAGGCCATCAGAAGTAATCTCATTATTGTTCTTAGTGGAACAGTCTTGACATGTTTGGAAGTGCACACCCATATTCAAAAGAGAGATTAAAATCAGTTTAATCTTTGTGCATCTTGTGGAAAGATGGTTCTTACCAAGATGGAGCAGGTAATGTTGAAAAGGAGTTGTTTTGAGTTGATCGAGGCATCATCATCTGAATAAAATTGCTCCAAGTGTTTGTGCTAACCAAAAATGACCAAGGACGTCCCAGAATGATGCACAGACATTAATGATATAAATCTTCTCCTTTGGCTGTTGCTATATTTTGCAACCAAGTGCATCTTCCAGAGTGTCAACTTGCTCCTTTTACTTAGGTAACCACATCTATCTATGATGTAAGTATTTCACATATGTCCTCCCCCTGGCTTCATCCTCTAAATTAATGTTTGAAAAATTAAGTTGTCAATTAGTCAACAATCCATCTTTCTCAACACTGTTGCTACTCTGTGCATCGTTTCCAAAGACCAACAGCTTTGTAATGCTAGACATGTAATATGTTCTGAATAATGTGGAGTTTTTATAAAAAACTAAATCTTTAATAAAAGAGGTGAATACAAGTCAAGTGATTTTATAGGGGTCACCCAAGTTCTTAATGTCTTTTTTATCAAAAGGTCAAATTTACAGTACAGGTAGGCAGAATCCTGAACATTAGTGTTCCAAAAAAATCCTGCAGCTCTGAGTAATGGGCGATTTTTAACAGAAACACATTGCTGCCATGGGTAATGTGTTGAGTGGCAGTGAAGAGGTCAGGATAGATGGTTTGTGTTTAGCACTTTCCCCAAACCATAGACCGGTAGAGACAGAAAGAAAGTAACAGCACAGTCATGGCCACCAAACAGCTTAAAGACAATTGGCAGTTGATGCCCTCTTAACTGATGCTCTTGTAAATCACATCATGGACCTTTAAACCATGAACTTGCTGTAAGAATGATGACCTTTACTGTCGACATACTGTACACAACTGCAGATGAGTTTTTTTTACAGATACATTTAGGATCAATTGCTTAAATGGCGTCTGTCTACATCCAGAAAATAAGTAGAACCTCTAAGATGGTCTGAACAGAGAGACGTTCACAATTAACTTAAAGGAAACGTGCTCACACAGCACAGACAAAACAACATAAGTTTCCAGAAAGGTAGCAATAGCTTGAGCTTAACTCAACAGCTATCCAGCTTTTAACTTGTTAACAGCATGCATTAGGCAAAGAAAAACAGTAGCAGAAACCCCACTGCAATTTCTGTAGGGCGTGTTTAGTCTAATTCAGGACATGATGTTCACATACAGTAGAATATGAGATACATGGCTAACAACTACAATGGCTTCTAGTATCTTAGTGGTCCAAAAGGCTTCTCCAGTTCTCCACATGTTAGTATCTTACTGCCACAGCCTGGAATTGAGCCTTTGATAAAATTAGTGCTTTTCCAGCAGCGACATGAAAAATTGTGATGAAGGTCTAAAAGGCCCCTTCTTTCTGTGATGTGTCAAATAAGTCCAAATAAAAAGGCCTTGATGCTTTTCATGTAGAGCTCTTCAGTATTCACATGTAAATGGCTTGAGGTCCCTTATGTGGCTCTTATTAGTCATAGGATCAAAGAAGTATGTTCTAATTAAAGTAGTGCTTCTTACTTGGGTTTGCCCCATAACTACTCTTAAATAAAGAATAGCATATATAATTTTCTTTTATTCTAACCAAACTTGTCTGTAGAAGTCTTTTACCAATACAGGAGCCAGTGAGCCAGCAAAACCACCCAAAGGTAAGTGTGTGGTCCTCTTGTGTAAAAATCCTGGGGATGCTGAAGAAAACTTTATGAGAAGTTTGCACAGTACCAGAAACATGGTGAGATTATCTGTTGAGGGCCTGAGCTTAATGGATGCAAAAGTAAGGTCAGGCATTCTATGTACTTCAAGGTAACGATAATTTGATACTTGTCCTTGAGTGTCCTGTATATGCTAATTAGTTTATATTAACATTTAAGTGGTCTTGCGTAATCGAGGCCAGGTTTCTTCCCAATGTACACTTAGTAATACTCCTCCTGATAGCATGACGTGGATGACAGAGAATCTTTACAGACAAGGCCTGCAACTGAAATAACCTGTATGTCCAGAGGTAACTGTGTAACAGTTGAAGACACAAGGAAATAAATGCTGATGTCTGATATGCTGCAGATTTTTTATGTTTGAAAAACCCAATAAAAGAAAGAGAAAAAACACAGCCTGTCTCTTTATTCTCTATGTGTTTTGAGCAGATATCTTTTACAGAGAGTGAAATTAGCACAATTAGCCATGCTTGACAGTATGAGACAGTGAATCTATGATCTTGTCTTTGTTAGAACAGAAGAAATGTTGGAAGGTTCTCTGATAAAGTAATTGATTTATTAAAGATAATAGAAAGCATCATTTTTCATGTATGTAAAAATCACATTTCTTCTGTAGAGT